AAGTATAAATCAAGAGGCAGCGCCCAACCATTCATTCATTCCTGCGTGAGCCATGCGGAAGCGCTGCCACAGCGACTTGTGCAAGGAGGTCTGCAGATGAGCCCGGAGGACGCAGTGGGCTAGAGAGAGGGAGTTAGCATAGCGATAGGGTAGATGAAGCGACAGCTGCCATAGCTGTAGTTAGTAGCGAGTGTGTGTGTGTTCGAGTGTTAGAGTGATGCGTGAGGGATATCCAGGGTGATCCAGTGTATGTGAACAGTGAGATGTTTAGGCGCTGAAGTCGCCATAGTCAATTGAGAGTGAACTCGTATCTGAAAGCCATACATCTCAGTTTTGAGTGGGCGCATTTCGCCAGTATGCTGCGTTGCTGTTTACATGCATGAAAAGTGTGTTTGAGAACGAGTCTGATTGCAAGTGTGTCCTTCCTCGCGGCCATGTGTACGTTTCAAACAACGCTCTGGACGTTCTTGTCGTCGGATGCATTCTGGAAAATTGACGGCCTCGTTCTTGCTTTTTTTTTCTGTATTTGGAAAAAAAAAAACAAAAGAAACAGTCTATTTTCTGTCCTCTCCTCCCGCCCCTCACGGCAGGAGGGCGCCTGAAAATACTGAGGGCATGTTTGGGTGAGTTGGACGTTCTTGCTGTCAGATGCATTCTGAAAAATTGGCGGCCTCGTTCTTGCTTTCTGTTTCTGTATTTGGAAAAAAAAAAAAAAACAGTAGATTTTGTCCTTTCCTTCCGCCCCTCACAGCAGGAGGGCACAATTGATTCTCCATCAAGACAAAAAGTGGGCCTGTGTATCTTCCCGTGTTCCAGCGGAGGATTCATTCTCATTTTGCACATTTGGTGAGTAGTGGAGCGAGGCCTCCTATGTGTTCTCGTTCTGTTTTTTTTTTCCCATTTCATCACAGGTTCCACCCGCCAAGTGGCGGGCCTTACAAGTTCTTTGTTTTTTCAGTTCTTTTTTTCTTTGCTTTCCTGTTAGTAATGTTCTTTTTCTCTTTTGCCAGCTGGTCTGGAAGCAGCTGCCGTTTTCACATCTGGTGCCCGCCCATCCGTTGCACCTCGTGGACTGGCGACTCTAATTTTTTTGGCCCACCAGTCCTTTGCCCCAAAGCTCTACCGGCCCTGTGCCGAGGGGCCCAGGTCAGGGTGCAGTTTACTGCAATACCAGGGACAGTGCAGGGGCGTGAACTGGTGGTTTAACCATCTGTTTTTTTAGCTTTTTGTTTTGTTATGTTTCTTCTGATTTCTCTATTTATAGCGTTTTTACAAATTCAAATAATCAATTACCATTGTTTTATAAAGTTTATTGTTTGACGGTAGAACTGGAAAGACTTTTGAGAATGCAATTACAGTTGGAAAAGCATATATATTAAAGCTTATTCACCAAGTAGACGATAAGATACATGCCCGTTCTACCAGTTTCCCCCGTGGACTTCCAGGCAACCTCAGGACACGAAGTGGGCGAAGCCGAAGGCCTGACTTTAGTGAGTCCACGCAAGAAGAGACATTGGATCTCATACTCGACTAATTATGTACTAGAAAAAAGAGTTTCTGTTTTTTGTCTTGGGACATGGGAGCCTCTATTCCAGCAAGTTTGACCAGCACTTTTTCATGACCCGGGGACCAATTCCTCGAGTAAGTGCTTCAAATTCTTCTAGGCAAGTCTTTGGGGTTACTATATAGAATTCCAACCTGACGGTTGCCTGGGAGTGCCTTTTCCACTCACTGATTTTGAATCTAATATCCATTTGAGAAATAAAATTATTATATTAATTCTTTATGGAATATCACCAAAAAAATGAAATAAATAATTATATATTTGAAAATTAGATTTATTCTTGAAAATGAAGAATATGTTTATTTTATTCACCAACAAGGCTCAATATGATTTATAGAAATTATAATCAATTATTATAATACTTATTATAATACAATAAATAATACAATGCGTCCTTGGATTGCTGTTGCATATTCTGCTCCTGTAGCAGCAGCTGCTGCTGTGTTTTTAATTTATCCTATTGGACAAGGAAGCTTCTCTGATGGAATGCCTTTGGGTATTTCTGGAACTTTCAATTTTATGATTGTTTTCCAAGCAGAACACAATATATTAATGCATCCTTTTCATATGCTAGGTGTAGCTGGTGTTTTTGGCGGCTCTTTATTTAGTGCTATGCATGGTTCTTTAGTAACTTCTAGTTTAATCCGTGAAACTACCGAAAATGAATCTGCTAATGCAGGTTACAAATTTGGTCAAGAAGAAGAAACTTATAACTGCTATCAATGTATCCCAATCAGCCACTTTTGCTAGGATAGTAGAGAGTGTATTAGCATGAAAAAAACCGAGTATATATATTTGTAACAATAAACCAAAGATGTTGAAGAATGTCAGAAACAGAAAGAGTGTCAGGTCCCCTATCCGTAGTCCATTCCCCTCCACGCGGTCCACGGACCACCATACGAAGAGCAACACATGATGAGCGTGTCTGTGTATGCTGCCGTACCTGTGCAAGAGCGTAGGCATGCGCCTCATCAACGGCATTAGCAACATTGTCAAGAATCCGTTGATGAGAAAGATTAGTATACATAGTAGTGAAATCGACCGTATGTGGGGCCAGGCCTCTGAGAGAAGCTTAATTCTTTTTGAGGTCAAGCATGACCTCGTCACTGCTCTGGACAATCCAACATCGTCGAATACCTTCGGTTTGAAAGAGTTGATTATCTTTTTTGCAAAGAGTATGGATGACGCGTTGAAGTGCTGCACTCAAACGAGCCGATGTAGGTGTTGTTCTAGCTACAGGCTTGTGAGGCGGTCGGTGATGCAAACGCTGGACTCGTTGGGAGGGGTGCAGGTCACCCCGCTGGGCCATATGAGAAGAGGAAGAAGAAGAAAGATTGTTGTCGGCGTTGATACCAAGAATAGTACGGAGTGTCGGAGGAGATTTATGGGCCTTAAGAGCGCAATAAAGATACGGCAATGTGTCAGCATGAGGATAATTCCAATGACTGTTCCAAACTGCATGGCTATTCAGAATGTCGGCCGCTGATTCAGCAGGCCGAGAATACATAGGACTGTCAAGGTGACTTGACAGTTTAAATCGATACCAATTTTTACAACAAATAGCCAAGTTATGTGATGCTTTGTCCACAGGAACAATCGCGAAAGATTCTTGAAGCTGATGCAGGGCCGTGTGCACGTGTCGCAAAGAGCGAGGCTGTCGCAATGGTGATGCGGCAGCCATATTGCACTCACAGTGACGCAAAAAACTGCGGCACGCCAAAGAGCCAATTGTGGAGCTGGGGTAGCATCGCAGGATTGTCGTGCTGTCGGACGAAGATTCGCAGCAATATACTCATCAATACCAACAGCCAATGCTTCAAGTATATCCCCCACTACCTCATTCAGCCGATTTTTTGAGCCCTCATAGAACAAGCGACGGAGGTAAGCATCCGGAATCAGATCATAGTTGGCGGAAACAACATGGCCGTCAACCAGATCGGTGCAGTTAGGAAACGCCCGACGACAAGGACGATCAGCAGCAGCATATATATATAGAATTGATATGACCCTGAGACAGAAGTTCAGTTTTTTTGCTGAATAACATACTTTTTTTTCTTTTTTTTTGCTGGGACCTTCCCAGGTCCTTGCATGGCCCGGCCGCCCGGGAAAACAGGGTGACCTGGCCAGCCCGGCTGGTAGCCTTCAAAACAAAAGCAAATGAAAATGAAGTCACTCACCCACTCCATATTGTCATCATCTAAGTTCGACATACGGCTTCCGTCTCGATGGTGCTTTCGCAGACGAACCGCCTCCTTCGGCAATTGAAAGTCGCCGATGTCGTCGAGGTTTCCCAAAATCCCATCTGCGACTTTCTTGAAATATTCAAAGGCAGCTGTTTCATTCTTCTCCAAGCCATAGCCCTTCGCACGCACAAAGTTTTAAACACATTTTCCCACAAAAGAACACACGTTCCATGAATGAAATAAAGGTTAATAGAAGCACATTTTCGGAATTTCTCACAGAAAATTGACAAAATAAACGCATTTTCTCACAAAAACTTCAACGCACACAACTTCCAACACACTTACACGGGTTTCGCGTACAGATGTACAGATGTACAGATACTCCCTCAAGCGGGATTAGCAGATTACACTTAAAAAAAAAAAAAAAAAAAAAAAAAAAAAGGCTATTGCAGCATAAAAATACGACAACTTTTGCCTGGGAATCTTCTTGAATTCCTAAACCAAACTCAAATCAGAAACTCAGCAACAAACAAATAATTAAAACAGAAAAATAAAAATATTCTGAAACAAATATGCAGCATAATTATGCAAACTATGTCAAAATGCAAGGAATATGAACGAGAGCGATAGAGAGAAGTCCAGATTGCAAAATCACGAAGTAGCCCAGATAGTCATGTACCAAGCAGAGAGCACAATGCACCAAGGTAACATCCAAATAAGAGCAATACAATGAACTTGTGAGCCAATGTCGACGCTCTTTGTCTTACCAACACAGTATCCAATGTCGCTCCTACTGTCTGGCGCTCAGCGCCCAGCCTAAATTACTCAGCCTATCTATGCCTATCTAAGTTCATGCAACTGGATCACATCGAAGTTGGAGACCAATGTATGTGACGTCATCACCAATGCAGACCGCCAGCATACACCAGGTACGTTCTCTCTCCTCTCACATCACCCCTCGACTTCCCACAGTGTGCATTCCCGACACCCAAGGACCATCATCACTATCACCAGCCTCCGCTGAGCAAGCCCAGCTATGGCTGCTCAGCGCCCGCTGCACCAGCAGCGCCCAGCACCACAATGCGCACGTGTACGCCTCTTCCTGCCCTTGGCCAACCGGCGGCCTCCAGCGCTGCTGCCAGCAAGCACACGGCCGAAATCCCCGCTTGCTGCCACTTCTCACTTTCCTTTATGGAAAGTGAGCTCTGCTTTGTCGAGGCCTGGCTGGAGGAGTTTCCAGTAGCTTCCAGTCGGGCCCCACTGTCTGCGCCCAGGCCCTAGGTTGCTGTTTCGGGCCTGGGCCCTTTACGGTTGGGCACGCCCAGGTAGCCCATGACGCTACAAGTGTTCGCACCGATCTCATTGGCTGCTGGCCAGTGTGTGACGAAGGTGCTGCATTCTCATTGGCCCGCGGCCATTCTGTGATGTGTCGGCCTCTGGTGGCTCACGCCCAGGGCCTCAACTGTCCGTGCCCTGGGCTCAACAGCCTCTCGAGCTGCTGCTTACCAACTGGCGTGCTGCAACAGTCTGATACCCGACATGCAGAATTGACAAAAATAGGCCTCTCGTCATTGTTGCACCCCCCGACGGTCGGCGGCCCTTGACTGGTCAGCTGCCGACCCGCCAACCGATCGTCCAGAACCCCCAATAACACATCCAACACCCCCATAGCGTCCCCCAATACCCCCATACACCCCCCCAAAACGCCCCCAAAC